CGTACTAATAATAAATTTAAATCACAATCAGGTAAAGAGAGAATGAGAGTGTAAAGTTCTTCCATGCAGTATATGCAGTATAATGCATATTTAGTCAGAGCATCACAAAAGTTGAACTTCTTAACTGAGTGACTTAAAGGTATATATGTTCTAGTATATATATAACATAGGCTTTGTCAGAGACATTGTTCGAGATATACTACGTTAAGTAAATTAATGAAATACTGAACATGCGAATGCATGTTGCAACCGATTTTCGATTTGAACAGATCTTATAAATAAAAAAAAAATGTGAATAATATGTATATAGTTTATATATAGTTGTAGTTATAAGTGTGTTTAAAATAAAAAAAAAGTAAAGTAAAAAATAAAAATTACCAAAATAGTCAGCTATTGCTCTTCTTATTTTCCCCGCTTGTGGATTGTTGTTACTGGAAAGGTCTTCATGCTGTGGTTTGTCAGCCAATGGATCTGAACTGTTTAACCGTTCGTTTATATTTATTTGAAAGGGAACTGCTTCAGGAAATTGATTGCTTTTCGATAAGTTTTTCGGAGGAATCATTGTCATTAGCTCTATTTGAAGCACATTTTGCCGAGTTGCAATTTACTTGCAGTATAAAATATTAGATATATTTCAAAATATTGCAGCTTAGTTCGTTGACTAAAGTTCGTGATGTAAACATGGTATTAACAAGATGTCACTATTTCAAAATTCCTTCATACTTTTTTTAAAATACAACAGAGGGTTTCAAAAGTTTTTATTTCCTCTTTTGACGTTCCCAGAAACTTCAAATTATACTTCAGTGGTAAATGCAGAAAATATTGCTCGGCATTTTGTGTTCAATAGGCCTGCAGAATGGATATAAGCAAAGAGGTAATATGGTTTTCTATTTATGTTATATACTATATACCAACTTATTTCTTGCGATAAGATAGTGTGAACTATCATAAGAAAGTTTTGAACAGATTTCATTTGATAATAACGACTGCGATATATACATGAAATTAACATGTATCTATTCTTGTTTGCAGCTAAAGGAATATAAGGTCACTGGTCGCAAATGGCTAACTAGACACAGGAGGGAGGCCTTTTTATTCTACATACACGTCTTCGCCGCAAGCAAACGTGAGGCAAAGACTGCTTTTTGGTTCTATGTGGAAAAAATGGCAGGTATAAATCGTCAAGCCGCACACATTTTTTCGTGTGAGCGCATTTATGTATCATCGCGTGAAAAGATAAGGTTCGCGTTTTGGGTCACCTATCCTAAACGTACTGGTTTCAGAAACACAATTTCAATATATAAGAACAAGAGTGTTAATAATGCTGTTACGAAATTACTTTGGCATTTGGGCGCCCGTCGTCGAGCTCTGGCACGTATCAAGGTGATTTTTAATGTGAATACTGGATTCGTTAGCGAATACTCACCGTAAAATATGTGTATTCTATAAAAAAGAGTTCAATCAATAAAAATCATTATTTTACATTAATTAAAAGTTATTTTAGTTTCTCAAAATTTGCTTATAGGAGTAATATTTCAATAGGGGATATTATAGCTTTGCTACAACTGGAGGTCTTACCAACATATGGCTTATATATCAGTAACGTTGGGTAAGACGTTAATTCTGTTTAGTACATTTCGTAGAGAAAGACAATGATGCAAAAATAATAAATATAGTAAAATCAATATTGAAATTATTGTCGGACCTTATGGATTGGATTTTAACGGTGTTAAGGTATTGAGCCCAATTGAGCCCACGTAAAATGGATTATGAAGCGACTAGTACTGTGCATTCACTAGTTCAAAACTAATCGCAGGCGCTACTGGGAAAGGAAGAAAGTTTTTTTGTGAGAGAAAATAAAATTAGAGGCGATTTAGCATAACTTCTTCAATGGCAAGATAACAGAGTAGGAGAGTAAGATTTTATTACCTAGTATTACTATGTTTGAACTTAGACTTATCGAGCCTCCTTAGCATATTTTACTATAAATTTTTTATGAAAAGTAAGACGTATTGTTGCATATTTGTCAATTTGAGTGCAATAGTCTAAATAGTCAAAGCATTAGATAACACTTCAAGACCTAATCATTTTATATATTTGTCAAAAACTTTGTTTATATTATTTTATTATTTATTATATGAATTAAACAAATTAATAAATCAAATTGTAAGGAATAAATGCTTCATATGTCAATACATAATTTTCGTCGGATTTGAAGATGAGAAATTTACTATAAGAAATTTCACTAGTGATATGACGGAAGTCAATGTAGACGCTAAAGCCAAAGCCTAGCGCAGCGTATTAGAATATGCTTCAGACAGTTCAATGGATGTTGATGTACCATGTATCGAGAATACAAAAACTTTTGATTTAGACGAATCCGATGATGACGAGCCAACTCCGTTGGATGGATACAATGTGCTACAACATGCAGAAATATTTACCTCCGATGAAGTTTTGAACATGTCGGCTAGCAAGCTAAGTCGTTTAAGAGATTTGTATAAAGATCAATTGAAGTACTTGGGTAGAGAATTGAAAAATGTTCAGAGAAATTATAAGGATGCTCTTACGAAAGAAATAGAAAGTGGTACTAATCCTAGTTTGCCACCACTGCCTACAACAGATGATCACAAACACTACGAGCAGTTCAAGGCACTTAAGACTTATCATCGTCGCCATGGAGTTGATGCAGTGCTACGCGAGAAGATGAAGGAGAAATAGCGTCTTGTGTCTGAAGGCAATAACAGCGCTAATAAGAAGACTATAATATGTGTTTTTCTTGACGCTGGTGTTAAATGTACAAAGGATCCATTGCCATTAACAAAATATTGCACATTACATGTCTTGTACGGTAAAACTCAAGTGTTATTCCGCCCTTGTGGCAAAGTACAGAACGGGGTTAAATGTCAAGCTCCAGTTCTCCAGTTAATTAATTCCAAATGTGATGCACACTTAGATATGCCCAACGTATGCAAAGAGTAAGAACAATCGGATGATGACAAGCCGAGTTGTTCTACTAAAACCACAAATAAATTCATTTAATTTAAGTTAATTAAATTTAAATTAATTTAAATTTATTTTATAATAGAAGTATTCAATTCAATGATTTTTTCACAATTTCAAAAACATTTAAGTAAAGTAACTCTAATAATGACTTACATTGTATACACATTTGTATATATAGAAAAAAATTTTAGATACATACCATATGTAATAAAAACTATATGTATATATGTATGCGTTTTTTACATATACATGAATAATATATAATATATAAATATGTAATTTTTACTATATATAAGTATATAATTTTCTTTTTTAAGTATATAATTTCATTCTGTGAAGAGAATAAGGAGTCGGCCACACATGTGCTGTTAGAATGCCCTGCGCTAAAGCACATACGAAATAGGCTCCTAGGAATGTATATTCTTACGGAAGAGGCAATGAATCTTTGTAAAGTAGGTTCTACACTACTTGTTACTGACGCAACAGGGCTTAAAGACCTATTCTAAGCCCAGAAGGGGCACAATAGATCCGATAGTCGCAGTGGCACATCCCCTAACAATAATAATATACTTATTATAAAATATAAATATGTAATATTTATTATATATAAACATATATTTATTATAAGTAAATGTATAATTTTTATTATACATAAATATAAAAATTTTGTTATGTATATTTATATGATTTTTATTATATATGGTACATATTTAATTTTTATTATATACAAATATATTATTTTTATTACATATATATATAATTTTAATTATATATATAATATATAATAAATTTGCGAATTTTTTAAGAGAAAAATTCAGGTTAGAGAATTTTAAATGATTATTAGAAGAAAGATTTTTAACAGCTGGATTATGTAAAATAAATAATTGATATATGAAAAATTAATACAAAAAAAAAATGTTGCAAAAATGTTGATATATAGTAAAAGAAGATATATAGTAGAAGTTTTAAATATTCCTCTGAATTCATTTATTATAATATCTCTGTTATTTCAGAGAAATATTTGATTTTAATTTTTCAAATGATTGACTTTTTTATGCAATGAATTATGCATTTGATTTAAAAAATAGGCAATAATAAATTGGGTTTTTATATATTGGACGACGGCTATTGTTCAAAAAAATTAATTTTGAATTATAATAGCTTTTGAGGTGATTTATGTACAACAACATATTTGGTGTCAAATCAAAGGATATTTAGTAGGCTAATAACGAATATACAATGTAAGTTAACCATTTCTGAAATATTGATGGTTTTTTCAGCTTCAATTAAAATCTCACTCCTCCATAATCCGCCCTTATTTTCAAACAATCCCTTCACTTTTCGCACTTCCTTTACACAACCACATCGTACGTAACTCATGTATTCGCATTTAAATATGAAAACGTATATTTATTCAGGTTATATCATATAGACCCACTAAGACTATATTAAAGCTTGAAAGTTTTGAAACCTCAATGATAAAATAAAATTAAATATATTAGAAATGCCTAATAAGCCTCATAAAAAGTTTCAGTTGTGTGTCTATTAATCAGACTAACATTAGTTATTGATAACTATATTTTTAATAAATACAATTGGTAAATTTTTTAAATTACATCATATTTTTTTCTAATGAAAATATATTTATCTAAAAGCTTAATTAATTAAATAATTTATTATAATACTAATGTTCTTCTGAAACTACCTTAAGCATACCAATTTCATATATTAAAACTTTCAAAGTTTACTGTTATATTAGCAAATAATAAAATGATATTTGATATTAAAAACAAATAACAAAAATAAAAATTAATTTAAAAAAATGATATTTTATTACTATACAAGTATTAAGTTTATTAATGAGTAAATGAAACTTATTAATATTCGATAAGTTTTAGTAGAAACAATTGACTGAATTTTTAAGTTGTCATTCCACAATTTCTAATCAAAAAGTATTTATCTTAACCTATTAAAAGTTAAAAATTGAACACGTAATGTAATTAGAATTCTCGGCGATGATATTTGTCTGGCTCAAAATATGAAGTCACTACAACCCGATCACTAAATCTGCGTCCTGTCAAGGCTTGTTGCGCTTTCTGACAGTCAAGTATAGAGTTGAATTCCACAAACACTTTACCACAACCAGGTACGTCTACACCTTTAACTGGACGTGGAATTTCGATACTGCGTACAACTCCATGCTTATTGCACTCGTTCTTGATATCCTCTAAGATGTCTTCGTACTCTTCCTCATCACGTAGCTCGTCAGGTGTTACCATATTAAACAGGCATAAAATTTCAGTAGATAGTCCAGCACTGATTACAGTTGTTAAGCCTGGAACCTATAAATTTAAACATGTGAAAATGTACGTTTAAAAATTTATTCTCAAATTCTACTTAACGACCTGTAAAGTTACGGGTGTGGCTAAAATGTTAAGCGCTGCATTTTTAGCACCCACGCTAGCTCGTTGCACAATTAGTTTTTTGTCTCCCAATTGCATTCCATTTAAACCAGCGATTGCCTTCATAAGAAATTTGTTTAACATTTAATTAACATTAAATTTGAACTTTAATTTACTTGATCAGTTACGTTTAAGTCCGCATATGCACAGAATGCATAACCCTTACTTAATCCAGTTGCGGAATCTTTAACTAAATTAAATGCGCGCAGATAACCAAAGGATAGCAAAAGTTCCTTAACCTGTGGAATATAAAAACAAGTGTTATTTACTGAATCTTACAATGCGATGACATTGAAAATATGTTCGTTATACTCTTTCCAGTAATTTTTAATAGATAACTATACTTGATATAGCCAGATTAGCTGCATGCAGCCATAGTTAAAACGGGCCTGAGTTGATTGTTACTGGAATATGCGACAAAAAAACGAACACATTTTCATCAAATTTGCTTTTCGTTTTCTGAATTCAGGTCTCTTATGTGCTAAAGTCTCTTGGAGCTCCTTGGATCAATTAAGTTAATAAACAGCGCTAATAAAAATAATGGACTTAAGCATGGAAAAGAAAATTGCCGGAAAATGCTAAAAATTTCTCTGTAATGATCTCTAAAGCTGAAAAGAAACACAATGTAGTCTTTGTTTCAAAGCTAAAAATTAATTAACATAAATTCTTCACATCAACCTTTGCAGTTCTATGGGTTGCTAAATATCTTAGCTGCTAAAAATTGCAACGTTAATGAATATATAATATAATATTATTATATTATAAAATCTAAAAAAAAAAATAAGGACTGAGAAACTTAGAAATATTTGTGTCCGTCTGTTTGACAATATTATTTTAATCCTTCATAAAAACAAACATATTTATTTTATTACAAAAAGATGACTTTGACCATGATTCCGATCCTTGCTTAAAAGTTAAAGTTTTATAGTAAGTTCTATAGTTCCGATTCTCATACACTGTAATAGGTACACTGTATGGAGTATTGAATAGTCAATTGGTGAGAATGAGATTATTGAATATATTGAATATATATTAAGCTGTAATATTGCTAAATCACATTTGAAAAGTTAAGTTAAACTTACTTGGTCATCGCTTAAATAATTTGGTAATCCACCAACAAATATCTTATGTGGCGAATCAGGCACCACATTGGAGATGACACCCGGCATAACTGCGAAACCAATTGTAAAAAAGTTAACAACCGATTTGGAAATATATAAATAAAACACATACAATCCATATTAAATCCTCCAGGTGGATCCGTTACGCCAGGCATCGGCTGGTAGTCGTGTGGACGGCGTATTTTTAAGACTTGTGCCTTAAAAGTAAGCCCGTCAAATGCCATTGCCTGAGTAGTTTCGTCGATTGAACGAAATTCAAGAAATGCGAAATTTTTGTCTAAATTGATTTGACAAGCAAGCACTGGGCTTCCCGCTGCCTGGGCATAACCCGATAAGTGCATGTGTTGATTAAAAAAGTCTATCATTTCCTCTTCCGTAACGCCGAATGGTATGTTGCCGACATACAAGCGGCGTGCCTGGCGTGTTATTGTTGAACCAACGACGGGGACAGCAGCTTGAGGTGTATCTGGTACTGATGACGCAGGAATTTGTCCAGATGCCTGCATTGCTTTATATTGCTGCGGAGTGATATGTTCAAAACCCGGTGGTGGAACATCCCAATATAGTGATGGTGTGCGGCGAAAAGCACGCACATTATGCTTCACCGAAGAATCACTTTGTCGTGAACCAGATTTGTGGCGGTGTTGTTTGCGTTCTAATGGAAAAAGTTATTGTTACATTAAAATCCAATCCAAATACATAACATTTTATTACAGACATATAGACATACAAGGGGTAATTAATTATTATATATAGTTGACTATACACATATAATTTAAATATATACATATGTAAGGTTATTCTAAAAAAACAGTCTTACTACATTACATACCTTCACGTGGCATTTTTATTCAAATTCAACGAAAAGACTCAATAGAAACCCAGCTAAATTTGGCTTCTGGATTGAATATCAAATAATTTCAACACAATTTCGACAAAAGTCACTTTTACGAATGTAATAGATTACTAAATTTTATGACATTAGTATATACATTTAGATATGGTAGTGATGTAGAGTTGAAATAATTCGGTAACCACTTAATACTGCATGTATTATATATCTGAAGTTATTTTCTTAATTAAAATCTTTGATGAATGGTACTGCGTATATATTATTGCCGATTTGTAGAATAAAGATTTTTAATTTAAATATTGAGTGTAGGGGCTCGTCTACTTGTACATGCTTTCACAATAAACAAGTTTCAAGAGTCAGTGATATGATGAAGGTACTCTTGAAACAATAATACTGTTATAAAATAGCAATTAATGTGGTTCACATTATAGTTCAATATTGACTATATATGGAAAATAAAATCAGAATGTAATTAATTAAAAGTTTTATTGGTAATTTGAGTTTTCTATGCAATACTGTGTTGTTAGAATAAAAAACCATTAAGACATGAAAACATAGATTAGAAAGCGAAAGGTGAGGGAGGTGCTCGAGCCCCTGGAAATGACAAAAAATAGAGAAAAAAATGATGAAGTTTACGGTATCACGTCCATAAGCGTATGGACTAGTACATAATCTTAACAAAACTCTAGGAGTTAATTAATTCATAAGGTACGAACTATTTATTTAATGAATTCAAAATGGGCGAAAATATTAAATTTTCTTGAAATTTTTCTTGAAATTTATTTCGAATTAATGCGAAAATAAAGTGTCAAATCATATAAAAAAGTAAGTTTCGAAATAACAAATTACTTTTCGGTTTTTTCTTTGCTTTTGCTTAGATCATAAACATTAATAAGAACTACTTAAACTAATATTTGCTAGAACTAGAAGATGGGCTCAGATGATAAGCAAATTATAATTGAAATATTTTGTAAGGTTAATTTGTCTGAGCTATTGACCAGTCAGAACGGGGTATACGCTGGGGTCTTTCAAACTACCTCTAGGATCTAGAATATGCTAATGACAATGAAAGATAAACTCAACGACTTGGTTCATGAATCGCGTAAAGTTAGTCTTACAATCAACACGGCAAAGATGAAAGTAATGAAGATAAACCCCTCTGACCCTTCTTGCAAATTCAAGCTGGATGATGTAGAAATCGACAACGTTAACAGCTTCACATATTTAGGCAGCATAAGATCGCCGAATGGTGGCCCAGAACTATTAAAAATTCTGAACTCTTATCAACATGCCGCCAATAACGTGGAATCCTCAAGGAAGCAGAAGACCTAGTAGGCCCAAGCAACGTTGAAGTGAACACTAGAGAAAGAAAGCCTGCTTGATTTTTGCGAAGTTGTTTATTTATTAGTTGAATAATATGTTCTAGAATTATTTTGTTGAAAATTTTTCTTACTATGAACAGTAATGAAATCCCTCGCCAGTTGTTACAATCGGCAAGGGTGCTCTTATCTTTCCTCGCACGTCGTTTAATTTGTTAAGTCAGAGTGTCGATGCCCCTCCCATGGTTTAAACCGCTTTTTGTGATTGGCTGGGTTAAGACTTTTCCTTTTTCTCCTTTCTGGCTTCTACTAATTGCCAAAAGGATGCGCTTAACCATTTTATGTTTGTTTTTGTCACGTTGCCAAGCACTTCAGTAGGTGCTTCTAAAATCACATTATTTGTGTTTTCCCACAAGTTTTCAACATCAGACGTCTGACTATCTCTACATCGTTTTTCGTACTTAGTGCGCATTGATTGCACAAAGCCTAATCTGTCATTGTTGTCTTTTAGTTTATAAATTTGGAACTTCGTTTGAAATTATCCAGTTGAAAATTCCGATTGCGTAGAGCTGGGTTAGGCGGTATTTAAGTTGTTTTATGTACTGCCTTGTGTGTAAATATCGGGTCTCTGATCATGAGAACACGATTCGAACATATTTCTAACATGAGTTCACCGTTTTCATTTCTTTCTCCAACGTGTTCTAAGCTGGAACTAGTGCTACCTATTCCTGCATTGAAGTCTACCATTAGAATTATAAGATCGTTGTGCTTGACATACGCTAATGTTCTGTCCAGGAGGCTCTAGAACTGCACTCTAACTTCTTATTCGGTTTCTTTTCTCGGGGCATAACATTGGATAATTAATTTAAGCGATAAAATAATTTTATGCGATTTAGTGTTTAGACGTGCTGTTATTACTCGTTCTGATATTGCGTGCCAATCCAGCAAAGCATTTCTAATTTTTCGGTTCAGATATATACCGATTTCGTTTATGCGCGGATCATCAGGGTAAAGCATCTCTGATTATATATATATTAAGTCTCCACTTGCAGTATGTTGTACTCCCCATTGGTTCCACTTCATTTCACTAATGCCCAGGACATCAATGCGTAGCGTTTTGCATTTAGATGTTAGTTGCGCAAATTTTCCTGGTTGAAATAGAGTTCTAATATTCCACTGAGCAAATCGAGTTCTTGTATACCGTGAAAATACATAGCTGGTTTGTTTCTCTTGTTGACATATTGATATCATTTAGTTCTCGAAAATTATAGGGAATCGACCTTTAACTTTCATAGTGTAGTGGCATGGCTGCCGCCTTACAAGTATTATTTGCTATCATGTGGTCTCCAAACCTGCCACGTTTCGCTATGTGGTTATAGTCATTTCCAACTATACCTAGATGTTGACATGGTTATACCGCAACGTACTCAGTCGCGAGAGCTTCTTCAGTGGAGTCAGGATATACCGCGAGAAGGTAGAAGTTGACATTTGAGGCATCCCAAGTATGATACATAGTTTATTTAAATGTTGACGTGGTTATACCGCAACGTACTCAGTCGCGAGAGCTTCTTCAGTGGAGTCAGGATATACCGCGAGAAGGTAGAAGTTGACATTTGAGGCATCCCAAGTATGATACATAGTTTATTTAAATTTATTCAGAACTTACTAAGTATTAATATCAACATAGAGATTTGTTGTGTCCATTATTATTTAATAGAACATACTTTTTATTCAAATTTATTTTTTTTTTCAAATAATTTAATTTTTATTAACAAAATTAAACAAAATCTTAACTCAATACTAAGATATGTATAGTTTTGTTAATAAATATGAAGAATATGTTTAAAGAAATTGCAATACCGAAAAAAGCTGGCAAATAACTAGCCAAATGCAATATATGAACCAACAGTTTTTTTTTCATTTAAAAGCAAAAGATACTAAAGTTATCAAAATCAACATTAAACTTTAATCTTTAAACTGGATTAATAAATATATTATTATTATAATAATTTGTTACCGGGCTAATTGGTCAAATTTTAATATAAATAAAAAGTCACTAATTTATTATTTATATTTAAAAATCGTTTATATTTTATTTCCGATATTTCGACTATCTTCGATAGTCATCTTCAGGGAAAACTACACAAAATATAGGATGTTCACATTTTTATAGCGGATTATAAAGAAAAATCATACAATAAATACAATAATAATGATGACAACAAGAGAAAAAACAACAATAAAAATACAAAAGAAAAATTAAAATTATAAAAAAAATTTTTATAAAAAAAAAAACAAAAAAGCTTTACAAACATCCTGTGTCATTTGTTTATAATATTCCTATAAGCCTGAGCACAGTTGTCCGTATCAGTTTTATAATTAAGTCTTATATTATTGGGCACTTGAAGTATTGAGAGCATTTCTAGAAAGTACCTCTTATTATGGTTCCTTTCTTCATATAAAATTTTTGCCTTATCAAAATCAGGTTCATGTTTATGCTCCATACAATGCACAGCCAATGCTGTATTGGCTTCAGCACCACTTTTATTTTTTAAACTGTGTTTATGTCCAGCCATCCTTGTCCTAAGCTTATTTTTAGTCGTACCTATATATATTTTGTTACATACATTGTACCCGTCACCTTTACAATTCAGCTGGTACACTACATTAGATTTGTCTTTATTATTAATTTTAGTTTTCGTATTGCTATATAATTTAGCTATTGTGTTTGTTGCCTTATGAGTAATTTTATAACGTTCCTTGTCATATATACTAGAATTCATTATTTGGTTTGACAATTTCGGAACATAATCAATGGATTTATATATTTTTTTGTCATTATTATTGTTAGGTTGGAGCTTTTTACAGGTCTTATTAAGCATCATATTAATAATCCTTACGGGGAAGTCATTCTTTATTAAAATATCACGCACTATGTTCTTTTGTTCATTATGGAAAATTTTGTCACTCAGTACTAGAACTCTTCTAATAAAATTGGATGCTGTATTTAAAATCACGTGTTTAGGATGATTGGAATTATAGTTAATTAATCTTCCTGACGCTGAAGACTTTTTATACCATTGAAAGTGAATTTGGTTATTATGTCTAATTAATTCAACATCTAAATAAGGAAGCTTGTTATTCTTTTCTTCTTCTATGGTGAATTTTAAATTTGTGTGAAAAGAATTCAAAATTTGAAGTATTTGAGTTATTTTATTTCTGCGTATTATCGCGAAGATATCATCTACATACTTCGTTAATAATCTTGGTTTATATTCCTGGTCATCCACACACTTTTCCAATAATTCTTCCATCACGATATCTGCTATAATGG